CCTTAACAGCAACCCAGCTTCTTGAGGGCGTGCGCTCGCTGCGCTCGCCACGCACACCATGGCCGTGGCTCACGGTGATTGGCCGAACGACTACAGGAGCCTGGACGTTGCCCAGACCTGGTCGTAGCCGAGGAGGTTCCGAGGGTGCCATGGCTGGACAGTAAAGTCTAGATCCCTGCAACAGGACTTCTCTGGGTAGGGGGATGATGTCTCCGTAAGAGTGCTACACCCTTCCAGCCGCTGCATGCTAAGAGAAATCTGCGCGTTGCTCTTACGAAGATTGCAATGTACACCATCTGGCCCAAGACTTCTCGGCGAAAAGCGTTCCATCACCAGCGTTTGCGGGTCTTCGCCAGTTTTCTGAGTTTCTGTTGCCACTCTGACAATGCAAAGTGCTCAGACAGCTGATCGCGCAACGTGTTTTTTCTTTCACAGAGGCATCGCAACACTCGTAAGCATGAAGGGGGCTAAGAAGTATGCTCAGGATGGTGTATGAAGCAGAAGCCCAGGTGTAGAGACATTGTATTTTGCATGGATGCTAGCTGCTTGGACGCGCAAGCACACTGCGATCATGTGTGCGCATGGCCATGGTTCTACTGCAGGCGGAAGAATGGCAGCACCATCTGCTCAGACAGGTATGTTCTCCGTCCGCTTGAATGCATCTTGGTCGATCCTGCACCAACCCAGGTAGTGTACTATCATAGCGTATTACAATAGATCATAGTGTATTATGGTATATAATAGTGTATTAAAGTACAACAAACCATATTATAATATATTAATATCATAGTATATTATAATATAGCATAGTATATCTTAATACATCATAGCATATTATAATATATCATCGTATGTTATAATATATGATTATAGTTCATTGTGGAGGAGTTGCATGAACCAGGAATGCTGAACGAGCTGCGTACAACAAGAAGAGCAGCAGCGTCCTCTTGATCATGGCCTTCAGCTGCTTCAGGGGGCCCACCTCGTAGAAGTCCTTCACCTAGGGCAATATTACTAAAAAAAAAAAAAAGTACTAATAGTAACAACAATAGTAACAACAATAGTAACAACAATAACAACAATAGCAAGAACAGTGATAATGGAAATAATAGTAGTAATAGTAATAATAGCAGTAGTAGTAATAATAATCATCTGCCACATGTCAGGGCAAGTTGTCATCGCAGACAAGCAGACTGAGCCGCTTGCCCCATCAAACACCATTTGCTTCACGGTCTGCTCCCAAAGAACTTCGCTCGTGAGCTGCCTGGGCCAAAGAGACAAACCCGCCTGGAGCCTGCAACATGCTTCACAACTTCTGACTGCTCAAGTGCCCAGTCTATTCATAAAACAGCGAAGACATGGCAAAGCTGTGTGCACGGCTTCTTCATGTAATCCACAAATTCTGCCGGCTTCGTTCCTCACAGCACGGACTGCTGCTGATGGACAGTCGCTTTCGCGATCTCAATAAAAAGGATACCGCTACTTGAAGCCAATTTTGACAAAGAAACACCTGCACTCCCATGAGAAAAAAACTCCACAAAAGGGACATCCAGGTACAAAGCAGGGTCTTACTCGCGTCCGCACTTGAAAAACCTTACAGCAGTGTAAGAATGAGCCTTGCCTGGTGGCATCTTCTTCCCTGTGAGGTTGAAGTAAACAGCGCACCTGCCGGCAACTCTGGTGAACGGTGCTGCATGGTGAGATTGCTACAGCAACATGAAGAATAACTCTAATAGTCATAATAGCCGCAATGACAATAAGAGTCACAGTAAGAAACGGTCACAAAAGTAGAAGTCCTTCACCTAGGGCTATAACGCTCCTTTCTGTAAAACTAAAAAAATAGTACAAATAGTAACAAGAGTAACAATAATAGTAACAATAGCAATAAAGTAATAACAATTAAGCCTTGGGGGCTTCATCTTTGGCAGCGTGGCGTCAATCGCCTTGGAGAGCTCCTCACCAGCAACAGCAAGATATCATATAGGGTTATACAGGGGTTATATTGGGATAATGGAAAGGAGAATGGAAACTACTGTATTTTATTAGGGTATATATCGGGGTTAAATAATTACCAATATTATGGAGGCTAAACAACTAAATGTGGACTTCACATTAGTGACTACAATAGACCTACATTTCTTTTAAAAAAAATCCTGCTTGCCGGAAACAATAATAACTGGACACACAATCAGATTATAGATCTTAGTCAGATGTTAATTGATTCTGAAACCCCCCACATTGCAGATAGATCAATCGAGGGGGGGGAGATATGTTAGTGTGAAGCCAACATTAATGTCTACTTCACCTCAATTACCATCCTGCAGGTGGCTGGATGCATAGCTACCCTGATGGTATAGCATCCTCCTTGAGTACACAGAGCAGGGCTAGTACGGGGAAAGTTCTATCAGTTTTCAACTTGGAGACTCCATCAGGGTTTAGGGTTTAGGGTGGGCTCCTCCTGCGCTGGCGCCATGAGAGGAGTGTGGAATCCGCCGCCGGTCTGCCGATTCAATGGTTTAGGATTTAGGATAAAGGGCTACTATCATGAGGAAACCCTATCATTTACTATGTGCTCATGATATGATTACTTGTTTTAACTGCCTCGACAGCAACCCAGTCTTCAGCTATTGACATGAGGCTTTCCCAAATTGGGCGTACCTCTTCAGGATATTGGTGTCCCGCCATTTAGGGAGACTAGCATGTGAGCTATAATCTAAACTCCTGGACGCCCTCTTCATAGCCCCTTTTATACTCCCTTATATTATCCCCTAAATAACCCCCTTTAAAATCTTTCAGAAATCTAGACTATGGCGCATGTGATGTGCAAACTTGTGGTCAGCTGGCCTTGATCTTCCTAGCCTGCAGTGCTCGAGCCTGCAGAATGCGCAGGCCGTCATGTCGATCACAGGCTGCGATAACTCTTACACCGTAACAAGAGAAATAATAGTAACAATACTATTACTAGTAATCATCATAAAAATCATAATAATAATAATAACAATAATAATAGTAATAATAACGATAATGATAACATTAATAATAATAATAATAACAATAACAATAATAACAATAATAATAACAATAATAACAATAATAACAATAATCATAACAATAATAACAATAATAATAACAATAATAACAATAATAATAACAATAATAACAATAATAACAATAATAATAACAATAATGACAATGATAACAATAATAATAACAATAATGACAATGATAATAACAATAATAACAATAATAATAACAATAATAACAGCAATAATAACAATAATAACAATAATAATAACAATAATAATAATTATTATCATCATAATAAGTAATGATACTAATAAGCTGTAACGGGGCGGTGCCTTGGTTGCCAGCTCGCACAACTTTTCAATGGCAGGCTTCGTGCCACCGCACGTGAAGCCGGCGGGAAACAACACGTTGGCGACCTGACCTGCAAGCGGTTTAGTTTTTGGGGTCTGGGGTGTTTGGGTTTAGGGTTTAGGGGTGTTTGGGTTTAGGGTTTAGGGCGTAGGGCTTAGGGTTTAGGATCACGTCTGCGTCTGCATTTTTGGGGGTTCTCACCAAGAAGTCCAATGAAAAATGGTGTTTGTGTGTGTATATGTACCATATATATATATACCATATAAATATATATATATGAGCCATGATCTAAACTCCTAGTATCCTCCTAAATAGCCCCTAGAATAGTCCTAGAATCCCCTAAAAAACCCCTTTAAGGAGTTTAGACTATAGCACATATAGTAGAATCAACTTTAAGTTCCTTAAAACCCTATGTTACCCAAAACTCCATTTCATTTTCCATGTTCTTTTCCATTTGATTCTCCATTATACATATGGGTGGTCGTCAAAATTATGGTCCCTTTTTGGGTCCCTACTATAATACGACACCTAATATTTAGGGTACCCAAAAAGGGACCATAATTTTGACAACCACCCATATATATATATATA